TCATACTATACCCGCATCATTGTGATGACTCACGCTTTACCCGCATATAAGTGAATTAGACGGAGTGCACGTGTTCTCAAGTACTTGAAGGTTAATGAATTAGATCATGCTTTCCTTCATGTGGTGATTGATTAATTAGGGGGAATTAAATGGAGTGCTCTGATTGGCTGTCTGATGCCGTGATGCCTGGTCCAGCTTTCCTAATATATATCTACTGTGTTCAATCAGCGGTTCCGTTTCTGTCCCTGTGAATTCAAAGGGTAAATTTTGTGTTCCAGAAATATTGATAGTATCGAGTTTTTCTCACACCTAAGTGTTAGTCATTGATTTTAGGATTGAAATGAATTTAATTTTTGATTTACGGAAAAGTTGTTGATCTTTTGATGTATTGAGTGCGGGCCAAAGAGATCTGTTGGAAGAGTTAACCAGAAACTATTTCACATTTATGGGTGATGAGATTGGTTGTGCTAGCCGGGTAGAATATTTAATTATAACCGAAGGTGGACCGATCAGGTTGATGCCTTATTGATATTTCCCCATAGTTAAGAAGCGCATCGATAACGAGATCGAGTAAAGGCTATCACAGACAAATGTCAGTTTTGCAGGAGTGAGTTGAGGTACCTTGGCTATGTTCTTGATAAATATGGTACACACGTGGACCCTCAGAAGGTCAGTGGTATCTGGAGCATAAAACTCCTCACGACTATTGCCAAGGTAGGTCAATTTTTTTGGATTTTCACTCTCTTTCGTGCCACTTTCTGCCTTGTGGTGTGAGAGTAAGAGGAGGAATTGGTCCGAAGATTGCGAGGAAACCTTCCAGTCTATCAAAAATTCGTTGGCTTCGGCCCCAGTGTTGGTATGCCCATACTTTTCGGAACCTTCAATCGTCCAGACAGATGCTTCGGTGAGCACGCAGACCGTTATATTTTCCGTTCTCTATCAAAGACTGAGAAAAATTACTCCACCACGGACCGTGAACTCCTCGCAATCATATACGCCTGTGAAATCGAGGCCCTATCTAGAAGGATACAATTAAGAGGTAATCACGGATCATTACAGCTTGGTGTGGGTACACAAGTTGATAGAACTCACAGCTCGTTTAGCTCGTTGGCAACTTCGAGGTTTTTCACAGTGGAGGCTGCGTTCATGTCATTCCAGATATTCTGAGTCGATCTGTTCCCGAGATAGTTGTCGATGATGATCAAAACCCTACTCCTCAAACTCCTACGGATAAATGGTATCAGTGACTCATCCAGAAAATTAGTGCCGACCTGCTGAAGTTACGTTCATATGGAAAAAAACGCGGAATATCCACTTAAAAAATGTGGAGAAACGGAAGCGTCCAAGCTTAGTGCTTGCTTGCATATAGATTCCATTGTGATTTCAATAGGTTGTTTTCACACTGTTGAAGTGAACTCTCAGGCAAACAAAAGATGAGAAAAAAAAAAGAGAGACGGCCACCTCCTTTTCATCTCTCGAATCCCTATAAGGTTCATGGAACATCGTGGGTACCTAGGAAGGATAGGGAGAGGAGGTAGGCATTGAGATTTTTTTGAACTTTCGGAGATTATAAGTTCTTGGGAATACCCTGTTTGGCAAAAGATTTCAAAGCCTTGCCGTTTTATGTACAAACGAGTTTTGCTAAAGAGTTCGAGTTCAAGATATTTCGAGGTTGACGAGAAAAGGGGTGCTGACTGGGCTCGTCGAGTACGTCTGAGTGATAGGAACAAAATAATGAGATGGCTTCATGATGATTCCTACTCATGTCGCTTGGAATTTATAGAAAATGATCAAATTATCGAGATGCTAGATGTACTATATGACCACTCATCGCTCATTAGGTAGTCTGGCAAGGATGAAGAAATCAAATGAGCTGATAATTTCGAGTAAACCATCCAGTTTTTTTGACAATTTATTTGGACTTTTCCTATTTTTCTCTTGAATCTTTGAACTTATTTCCAGTTTTCGATGATTTTTCCATTCAGATATAATTTTTATTTCTAGTTGTGTAATTGTGTAATTGTGTAATTGTGTGTATTGCTCATTATACTCCATCGAATGAATGCAACTGGTTCGATTTCAGTTTCCTCCAACTTCCAAAAAGTAAGGAGGTTTTGAACTTTCAAATGCTTTTTTCTTGAATAGTACTCTTCGTACCCCTTTTCCCCTGTGGCAATTTCTACCTCCTGAAACCCACCAAATTCCATTTTCATAACTCGACCAGTGAGAGAAACCTTTAACACCCCGTAACTCAGAAACGTAGCAAGTTAGGACACACGTTGATATGAACTTTTTTTCATTAAATATGACAATGAATCTCATGGTTCTGTTTCGAATTTGTGTATCACACCCCATACTCAATATAAACTGTTCTTGAGTTATTCCAGTTTATATGCAGCCGCCATTTTCATTTGTGAATATTGAAGGTTGAAGGATCACTGATCCTGATCACGACCACTGAATAATTTACAGGGTGTGCAGAAAAGTGGGTCCAAACAGTGAATTTGGAACAATGAAAATCTCAATTTCTTCAAAAGGAAACCTCACTTCTTCTTTTCATATTTCGATTCGATGATAAAACTGGCGTATGTTTGATGGGCTTCATATGTCTTTAACAACTCGAATAACTCGGAAATGGTAGGTATCGGGTATGTTACATGAATTTGAATCAGAATCATGAAAGGAATTCAGAAATGTTGTGAATTACATGGTGTCCTTCTGAAAGTAACGAAGATGACTTCACTTCTGGAAAAAACGGAAGCTTCACAATTACTTGGATTATCCATGTTTTTCTCACTGTCCCTACAGATCATCAGAATCAGGCAACTTTTAGTTCTTCATAATATTGATCGCGTTAACTCATGAAGATATACTCAGCCTGAAAGACAATGCATATTCCCAATTTTAGAAGATTTCTCTTTCCAAAATCTTATTGTGTGTTCAATAGATCTTATTCAATGTTCGTCGTGGTATTCCGAGTAGAAAAGTTGTTCTTTTTCATTGAATATATAGGTATCTACAAAAAAAACATCGAAAATGCGAATTCCTAATGTATTTCTCCATATGCTTGAAATATTTTTTCATGTCCATATCATATCTGAGAATATTCCTCTTCAGTTCTAATCAACTAGGTAACGCCACGAAAAAATGACAAAATAGAACATGGTCAAAGTTTACAGAATATGTATTCACTAAACTGTGACATGGTTTTGTAGGCAAGTTTCAACTTCGAATCAAAATTCGTCAAAAAAACAACAGGGTGTGCCATTTGAAAAAAAACATAATTCACGTTGTCACGCATTTTGAAATATCCTGTAGGAATCAACATAGTTCTGATTTGTAGACCTCATGATATCACAATGTATCCTGAGAAATATTAGTCTATAGCGCTCTTTCACACTACCTGGACACCCCGTAAAACATCATCATCCATAAATAACAGCAAAAAAATATCACTTATAGGTAGCAGACATTTTTTGTCTGATTGACAACATGGTGAATAATAATATTTTTCTCCGATTGGCAGCAAATATTAATTTTGCTGACACATATCAATCAGCAAAGTATTACTTTTCCTGCCTAGGCAGCAAAGTGGTTTCTTTGCTGATCGATATGTATCAGCAAAATTAATAATCCATGAATCGTTTATAATTTCCTTCATATTTCATTCGAAACTTCTCCGGCAACAAATTCAACTCTATATTTTTTGCCACCTCCCTTATTTCTGGAGGTGTAAGTACTTCCAGGTCGCTATCACTGTCCATTATATAATTATTTAAATATACCGATATTTTTTTGAACTGTCAGAATTTTCATGAATTGTCAAACTATAATTATCATGGACAACTGCGATTACTATCAAATTTCATTTTAATTGAACACTATAGGAAAAATAAAGAGATTGTGGGAATTGTAATAATTTGCGATTACAATATCTTCCTATATCATTATGAACAATCGGAGAAAAAATTATATGTTCAACTCGGCAGCAAGGTAGATTGACTGCCTTAGCTGAATTCCTAGCCTCGCTACGCTCGGCTATGAATTCAGCCTCGGCAGTCAATCTACTACTTTGCTGCCTACTTAAACAAATAACTATTTCTGAAGCTAGTAGTGAGAAAATAATATATCGCCGCTTTCGATTTGATTGTATCATATATATACAGGGTGGCATTGAAATAAATGCAAATATTTCAAACACTGATGAAAAAATTCAGGGATCAAAAGAAAATTCAAGGATAGACCCCTTTTTCCACCCAGAGTTCTACACTGTAGACGTCACCTCTGTTCAAATTTTCATGCGGTAGGTACAATCACGCGGAGTTCAATGAATACTTGATTTCTTTTTTCGTATTTTGTAAAATTTGAGGATGGAATTTCTCATTGATTAGAAAAATCAGAAAAAGTCTGTTAACATGGAAATATTCCTTAGACTGTATCATATTAATGTGCTGAATGTGTGTACGTATTTCAAAAACACCTTGAATACCTGACCATACGAATCGAGAATATTCGTGCATTTTCACATCAATTAAGGTGTCATTGTGTTTTCCGTTGGCTTAGTTTCTTTCTTCAAGAACTTCGAGATATCACATGATCAATATAGTCCCAAACTATGTGAACAGGAATGGTTAGCTATCAAAATCATTATGGACGTTCGCCTACTTTCTATATTGATATATACACTCACATTTTGTGAAAACATTGTTAGCGTGAATGCTCACTTCAATAATAATACTTTTCTAGTCATTTCAATGAGAATTTTGTTTTGTTGTTGAAATAATCTGTATTTTATAGTTCCGAATAAAAATAGTGCTAACTTGACCAGGAGAAATATCCAGCGTGCGTTCTCACCACAGATGTGGCCTGAGGTGGTTTCCTCTGGAAATACACTAAATCAGATATCAATTTGATACCTACTTGTGCCAATCGCTTTGACTAAGTTCATTTCAGTTACTCTACAATCGAATCCCAAACTGAAGAGGCCAAGGTCATTCAAAATGTTTATATTAACAGTGGAACCCATCGATTCCCAGACAGGTGATAATACCTACCACTCTGTCGGCCAATTCGAATTTGAATATGGCTCTCAAATATTAACGAAGTTCAGTGAGAAATGTCCAAATACGGTTGTGGAGAATAGCAAATTACCCAAGATGGATATTCAGGTAAGGTACAATATGTTTCGACGAATTTATGAAAATAGGTACCGATACCAACATTTATCAAGTGCGCTTAGTGTCATCAGAATCTGATCAATTATTAGTTTTCACTAGCATCCAGACCATGTACATGTCGGCGGCAATAGATTTTATTGGAAAAAACTGTTTTTATTACTATTTTGGGTTGATGTGAACTCTCTATGCGTTGATTGTATTGGAGACCACTCAGATGTTTGAAATATCACTTGGGAAGAACGTGGCCGTTATGGGAATCCGGTAAGGGGACATGAGGAAGGGCATTCCTCAACTTTACGGCAGAGCCGAAGAACCGGCCAATGATTACTTTGTTTTCCCAACTTTTTCGTTCAATTTTTCATTAGGTCGAGGTTTATGGTTGGATAAAGTTTCATGAAGCTTGTAGAATACGGTTCTGAGTCGTTCGCGTCAGTCCATGATGAATTGGTTCATGATTGTTTCATCTGTGAGGTCGAGTGGGTCTAGATCGTCGAGACGTCCGTTGATAAGGTCGAATAGTTCCTATTTCGTAACACTATGTAATGACGAATTATATCCACGAATTGCATATTGTATCAATTGTTTTGTACTAGCTTTGGAATTTTCCACTCTGACAATACGAAAGATTTTGATGAGCATGGAATGAAGACGTTTAACAGAACTATTGCTATCCGACTCACCAGGAGTTGAAAAGTGTGAATTGATTTTGTTAAGTTAACAAAAGTCTAAGATTGAGGAATTTTTGAATTCTGTACGGTAACCGCATGTTAGTGCTTGAGGTATTTCGTGGTAATTTAAGAAGGTATTTGAGTTTTCAGATACAGTGATAGAAGATTAAATGGGCTTCAATAGGTATGCTTGTGCATATTTATAAAAAACGTCTATTTTATTGAGAAATTCAGTGATAACAACTAAAAATTATCCATGTGTATGGTTTCAGGAGGTTGCTTAGTTGTTGCAGTGAGAGGAAGTTCCATTTTTGGTGCGTGACTATTATATTTTGCTTCCTGACACGTGTCACAAATAAAAATACATTCTGTTATCTGATCTTTCATACAAGGCCAATAATAAAGTCGTTTTAGTGCTGATGAAGTTCCGTTTATCCCTTTTTTTACTATGTCTGCGATATCTCTGACGAATTATTTTGAACTAATTAATTCATGTGCATGGTTTCTGAAATGGTTTTGTAGTATATTTGCCAGCTGTACTGATGAATCAATCTCTGTTTGTTGCACGAAAATGCAATGAAGTTTTTTTGGGTCTACGCGTTCCATGGAGAATTTGAAAATCTCTTCTTCAAAATTCCTCATCAAATGGACTGTTAGACGAACCTCATTTTTAGAAGTGTAATTTCAATATAACGTGGAAACAACCTGATTGTTCTCGAATGGATATGATTCGAATTGTATATCTATTGATCTAATGTTCGGTAATCGGGATTTCTTAGATTGGAATCTCTATTGCCGAATAAGCTGTTCCGTCATCAGCATTATTTTTGTCAGGTGTCCTAATTTGAACGTCAGAAACGATGTTGATTGGGTTTGGTGTTTGCTAGTTATCAGGGTTGATTATTTCATGGAGTGCGTCTAGGTCTTCATGGGTTACGTTTTGTGTATTGTCTGTGGTCTATATCAAAGTCTATATCGTCTGGATTTGCAACGACAGACTCATTGATTTCGCTTTCGATTGCATTCAGTTCAATCTCCGACAGACAATCGGCGTTCGAATTTTATTTTCCTTTCTTATAGACAATTTGGTAGTCATACTCTTCAAGTTTGAGTCTCCATCGAACAAGTCGAGAATTGGGTTCTTCCAGGCTGAACAACCACTGAAGACTTCCAACGGGTGGACTGTCTGGCGGCACTTTTCCCTAGAAATCAGAGTGCTACGATCATCTCCGCAAAAATGTTTGTTTCCGTTCGCGATGTTGTTGCTAATGTGCTGTCGGCTTTGGTGAGTGGTGGGAATGAGCTATTAGTAAAATTCCTTTCCACTGCTTTAGCGAGGGATCAAGAATAACGAAAGTCATAGGGACAATTTATCAGTTCTGATCTTATTCTGACATTATATGATTCTTTTGAGGCATTTATCATTTGGCTGCTGTTATTGCTTGCTTCAACATATTCTGCTCTTGTCACGAGGTTACGGTTCTTACGCCAGCAATGGTAGGCTGTTTCATGGTGCCAATTCTAGAACAATGTGGAAACCGTCCCAGTCTTCTGCATTATAATGCCATACAAGACGTTCAGGTGCTGAAGTAGTTCATGGAATGAAGAATGAGCAGGAAGATGAGTGTGTGATCAGAATTGCCGAGTAAAGCTCGTACGTTTATGGCGAAAAATCCGTCTTGTCACTCAGCTCCTTCAGTTTTGTTGGAGTGTACGAGCAAAGCAGTCCTGCTAATGAATCTTCCACGAGTAGGTGAAGAAATAGGAAGTAGTCCCGTCAATGATATAATATGGACTGACAGAGGAATTGAAAAACGGCAGAATCAAGACCCAGAAGTGAAGCAGATAATCGATAGGTACCCTGAACTCTGAATGATAACAATGACTAGTCTGATCTAATTGATGGTCTAATGTATGGAAATCGAAATGAAGAAGAGAGAAAAAACGATTTATGCCCAAAACTCAATAGTTAGAGACATTAAGAAAGGTTTGTTTTGTATAATTCAGTAACTATTGAGTATTATTTATACATACTTCGACTCACATACACTCCAAACTCATGAGCACGTACAAACGACTTGCCACTTTTGTCCCCAGTTGTTTGTTCACATGCTAGTCATTGCATATTACTGATTATATATTAACCATTTTTGTTTCATGTTGAACCAACATCATCATCATCATTATTATTATTATTATGATTTGAATTTATGTAATTCCAGTCACGACCCTGCGGCCTCCGACGCCACGCAGAGTCGTGCTGGATAAAATCCAGTGACTACTCCCCACAGCCTGTGAGGTGAGTAATCACTGGGACCAAGTACCGTGTGCCCTGAGTAGACGCAATGATCCTAGTATGACGGCCTTCTGCATACCACCAGCCAGGATGTGTGCCTTATCACGGCACGCTGGGATTTTCTGGATCTCCGAGAGTAGCGTGTGTCGTGTGCCTCCTAGGGAGCCGATTATCAGGATGACCAATTCCACAGAATGGTCTGGATAGAGCCGGCGGAGTTCGAAGAGAAGATCTCGATATTTAGTCCGTTTCTCCTCCTCCTTCAAAACGATGGCCTTCTGCATACCACCAGCCAGGATGTGTGCCTTATCATGACACGCTAGGATTTTCTGGATCTCCGAGAGCAGCGTGTGTCGTATGCCTCCTAGGGAGCCGATAATCAGGGTAGGCTCCTGCGGTTCCTGATTTCGCTCACCTCAGGAAGCACACGGTCCCCTCTCCCGTTGTGAAGCAGAATGGGTGGAGCGTGTTGTTCTTCCACACCATCTTCCTGCCGAGAAGGGACTCTCACGTAGTGTCTAGAGCGTAGGTGAGATACATAATCCCGCAGATTTTGAGCGGTGAGTGCTCCATGCTCTGGGTGTTGCTCAATCCACAGAGCATGCATCCGCCTCATGTATCCCCTACGCCCTGGATCGCTGCTCTCGAAGCACTGCAGATGGTCGTCCCTAAGATCATCTGTCCACTCAAGGCGTCCATTTTCGTCGCGGTCGTTATCAGGCTGTCCGTCCTGTTGGGCCCCACCACCTTGCCTTTGACCCCTACCCGGCTGGGGTCGGTTGTGGGGGCCCTGTCCTCTGTCTATGGGAACCAGAGTATTTGGACCTGCCAGGTGGTTAACCTAGCAGTCCCACGGCTGACATAAAAGGAGAAATGAATTTCTCCTTCTGTGTGCGCTCTCGCTGCCAGTCCGATTTCGCACCCTCAGCTCGGAAAGGTGGTGTCGCTACTCACCATGGACAAACCTCTGAGAGATTCGCCATCCTGCCTTATTATTATTATTATTATCATTATTATTATTATTATTATTATTATCATTATCATGGAACTGAACCACTTCGCTATTACATCGATGCATCTTCGACATAAACAAACTTTGGAAACTATACTTTCAATGAAAAAACCTAAAGGGGGATATAGTTAGTTATTGCGAACAATGTCATGAATGTAATCTTTGGAAAGCCCATCGTAACAATCTCGCTGAATTATGAAATTTTCATGCTCCCGGAGCACCTTCCGATAGAATATCAAAGAACATTGAGAGACCATTAAACACAACTCGCAATGGAAACAAATATATATTGATAGCGATAGATCATCTCACTCGTTATCCTGAAGTTGTAGCGATTTCCGGTAGCCAAAGACTTTATTACAAATACCGGGTGACCAGTTATATTCTGACCCATTTCATATGATTATATCTCTGAAACCATTCAAGTTATCGTTGTGCAGTTTGGACTAGTCTATCTTGATATTTTTCAAGTTTTTTTTTTGACAGGTTTACCTTCTCTCTTGATTTTCCGGTTCTACCGGAAACAAACTAGCCATTATTCAGGTATAGGGCAACTTTTTTATTTCATTGAATCACCCTGTATATTTTTGCACATTCAGAAAGACTGGTATTTTCTCTTTCTAACAATGTATTATAAGTTATGTTTTCTTAGAGAACTATCAGAGTTATAAGTCTTTGCTGAAGCATCTACTGCATATTAGGATGTTATCCTGAAATGCTGAATTACCGTATAAGAAATAACAAACTGAAAATGAATAATAATAGAAACTGTTCAAAATGTCCTCCATTATTTTGAAAACATAGATTCGTTCTTTTTACGAAGTTATCAATAAAACTGCGACTCAACATATCGACGGGAATACTTTCTATCACGTTACGAATATTTTCTCTGAGTTTATTGAGATTTTGAGGTACTGGATTGTAGCAACGCCTTCTGACGTAACCCCATAAGAAAAAATCAAGTACTGTTGAGTCTGCTGACCGTGGTGGCCATAGTATTGGGCCTTCTCTTCCA